CCCAGTTTTCATTGAAATGCAGATTTTCAAATTCCTATTCCTCTCTGCATTTTTAGGACTTCATGTCCACGTTGGCTTCAAAGTTAAAATATTCCATGACAGCTGGGTGAACTCCATCCAAGATGTCAAACCTACTTTGATATTAATGTCACTAATCATTGTCTAAAACACCATATTACCATATTACATGTAGAGAAAGTTTTCAGTATCCTCTACATGTAAATATGTAAATATGTAAATATGTAGGTCAACGCTCTCAGCACTGAGGGGGAAACACCATGATATGTTGAGGACAGCTACAGCTCACTGACTCTGTGTGTTTGCATATGTGTCCTGCCTCTCTGCTCCCAGCCGTTAAGAGGCCAGTGTTGATCAGTGGCTGTCCAGGCCTTTCAGAGCCACTGACACGCCGGCAGCACAATGATGATGTCACTGATCCTACTGCTGGCCACCCTGGGGCTCCTTGTTCAGGGTGAGACTGTTGTTGTTCCAGGACAGACTGACTCTCTCAGATGTAAAGCCAGTACAAGTGTTAGTTATGAGGTAGATTGGTACCTTCAGAAACCTGGAGAAGCTCCTAAACTCCTGATTTATGATGCTCAAACCATCAGTCTGGAGTTTCAGATCGTTTCAGTGGGAGTCAGTCTGGAACTGACTTCACTTTGACCATCAGAGGAGTCCAGACTGAAGATGCAGGAGTTTATTACTGTCAGCAGGATTAAAGTCGTCCGTTCACACAGTGATACAATGTCGTACAAAAACCTCCTTCAGCTGGAGAAGAACTGATCTGAATCAACATCTGCAGAGTTATAGAAACACTTTAGTAATTTACTGACAATGAAGTCAAACACATTAAAACTAGTTTTTGACATGAATTTTCATGTTTCCTTTATAGATTACATTTCAAATAAAATAGATTTAAAAGTTTTATATTGAAGTCACACAGTTTAGTTTTCTACAGACGTAAACACACATGTTGTATTTTGAGATCAAACTACTGATTCTGATACTGTTATGATATAATGTGCTGATAATAACTTACCTCATAATTCAAATGAAATAAATTCATCATAGACTTTTTAGTTTAATTAGATTCATGAAACTTTCAGGACATTTCTAAACCCATTTCAACATGAGAGTTTCTACCAATAGCACATCTTCATTTATGAGATAAATATTGTAAATCTGACTTACCTTGAAATACTTCAAAAATTAGCTTTGTCACTAAATAACTAATTTGCAGTTTGTGTAGTGAAGCAGTTTCTGCGATCTAGCTTTAAGGAAGCTGGAAAAAAGAATAAACTTATTTTTATAATGTCTTGGTTGCATTAATATTACATTACAGTTCATTCCAACTGCTTACACACATTTTCAAAACTATGTCTCCTTTTTTCAAAACTCTAAACACAATTCGCAAAACTGCACACATAAAATGCAAAATGCCTCATATCGCCTTCAAAATATAACACTGCATTCAAAATGCCTTAAACACATCCCAAAATGAAGCACTTGCATCAAATGGCACTTTTTTCATAATAGTACGTTTTTGGATATACCATTTACACACTATTGTTCTAAATCTAATACTCTTTTGTCTTTCATAGGCCTATGTGTACACTTTCATAAATTGTTTTACAGTGTAAGTAATCTGCTAAAATGTGCTGAGAAATTCACTGTAAACACCAATGCAGTGTTGAAACAGCAAATATTTATTTGTCAAAATATTACTGCTGTAGCACAGTATTGTATACAGTACCATACAAGAAAAGAAAAGCATAAACGTATGTAAACCAAAAGTATAATTTTTACCTTTATTGCCAAAAATGAATATTTTTTACAACACTGTACTGCAGAAATAACCATTAGATTGTTGCAACCTGTTCTAATTTCTGAAGGTTCAAATTATGGATGCTACTGTGAAGGACACAAGATGAGCAGGACTCCTCCTCTTCCTCCTCCTCTTGGCATTCCCCTGCTGCAGCTCCTCACTGGAGGGGGGCAGCACCGTCAGGGTGGGACGGACATCACCTAGGAGACACCAATCAGCTTAGAGGACACCTTTACTGTGTGAGAGCTGAGTTTCTCCTTTAAGGAGTTTCTGTCAGATGGTTTTTCTGCTCCACCAGTCACTCACTCACACATTGTTTCACTTCCCTTTAAGAAGCCTCTCATGTAAATCAGCACAGAGAGAAATGACACTGTTCTTGATCATAAAAGTTTATTAAATCAAGGAGTTCAGCATCAATTACAAGCTCTGCAGCAGCTTGGAGAGTGACCCAGCCCGATGGCCACTCTGTCTCTCTGTACATCAAACACAGCTTATATAGGATATGTGTAGGTATCTGTTAGGAACCATAGAAGGGTTTGAGTCTGCAAAATAAAGCTCCGAACCATAGAAGGGTACAGTACTATTCTGAGGTAACAAAACAAGGGGTTGGAGGTCAAATTCTATAGTAAAGGGTTCAGTCCCTACATAACCACCAATCACTGCTCTCCCCTTAGGAGGTCACTGACCCTCTGTCCTGCTGCTAAAGTGCTTAAACTGTTATGAGTCAAATGCACATATATTGGATACCACACTGTCTTAAACTTTCAAAAGCTGAATTTAAAGTATGACTTGATAATATTGTATTTAGTATATGAGCAGAAACTTACTTCCAACATCCAGTCTGGTTCCTCCACTGAACGTTTCCCACAGTAATACAAACTCCGCCATACAAAAACCTCTCACTGTAGAGAGACATGGCTCTCTGACTTTGACACAAACAAACTCACCAAAAATAGTTTCTGTTTGTAACATTTTATCAGCTGACATGTGAAAATAAGACTTGAATGAATGTTTTAATTGTTAATTTTAAAATAAATTTATACATTTTCTTCTCTAGCAATTAACTGAAATAAGTCAGTATGTGTCTAGAAGCATGAAACCAAAATAATGTAAAATATATTTTTTAAATGTCTTATCAATACTGATTGATCCATTGATAAACAGAATCATCAGAGTAATCCAAGTCCCTGCTGGAGTCAGTCAGAGCATTTCCATAGAGAGCCACTTTGCATCAGCAGCACCATGCTCCAGTGCTCTGGGAGAGTTTATAGTCCTGAGAGTTGAACACTGGATGACTGACAGCTGTCCTTCATGACAACAGAAGCCACAGAAATCCTCCTCATCAAAAACATGACTTTGATCTGCGTCCTCATCTGGACTCTCCTCTGCTGCTGCTTCACAGGTAAAGTCCAGAGAATCAAACTCCTCTCCTCTATGAACATCCGTCCCTCTGAAATGAAGCCCACAAAACCATGACGCTGCTTTATGTTTTTGTCTCTGTATCCTCAGAGTCCAGAGGCCAGGTCACAGTGACTCAGCCTGGAGCAGTGAGCTCTGCTCTGGGAGGCTCCGTCTCCATCAAATGTAGGACCAGTCAGGATGTATATAGCTCTAACTATTTAGCCTGGTACCAACAGAGAGATGGAGAAACTCCTAAACTGCTCATTTACGCTGCTAGCAATCGAGCATCAGGGATTCCAGGTCGTTTTACAGGCAGTGGATCAAACTCTGACTTCACTCTGACCATCAGTGGAGTCCAGGCTGAAGATGCAGCAGTTTACTACTGTCAGAGTTTTCATATTATCAACAGTCAGTGGTTGTTCACACAGTGAAAAAGCGTCGTACAAAAACCTCCCTCAGTCAGACTGAACAGAAACTGAACTGACTGCTGCAGCTGGAAGCTACTGCAGAGACTGATACACTTCACTGAGGACACACACACACTGTCATATGTGAGGTTGAAGATTTCACAACTTTTGCTTTAACCACCAATGAACATGTACCAAATAAGCTCAATTACAAAAAAATATGAAATCAAATTTCTTTCTCCATCACAGCTTCTCAACATCCATTCATGTCTTTTTATAATCCTAATGTCTTTTCTAATTTGCCCAATAGTCCTGAGTAGCCAACCTGGGAAAGCAGATAAGAAAATTCTTGGTCATGACCTTTGACCTCAGCCTCATACTGGATTAAAGCAATTTCAACTATATACATTTAATTGGAAATATGAAGACACAGATTGTCATCAGAAACATTCAGGATCAGAGACTGCCCAAACAAAACCAGTACATCCCTGAATGCACAAAATAGTATTTTAAATATATACACGTATGTCCTCCATAGAAAAGCTAAATATCAACTTAAATCATAAAAATACAAAAGAAATAAGTAACCTCCTTGATATATAACTATATCCCATACATAAACAATATGGAATAACACATTTTCTCTAACATGCAAATCAAAACACACAAATACACTGTGACTAAATGTTTATTCTTAACCTTGGAAACAGCAAAACAAACTCACAACATCCATCCACTAACTGTGGAGCTTTCAATCACATCACATGATCTTTCTTAGCAGATGGAGTCACCCAGTTTTCATTGAAATGCAGATTTTCAAATTCCTATTCCTCTCTGCATTTTTAGGACTTCATGTCCACGTTGGCTTCAAAGTTAAAATATTCCATGACAGCTGGGTGAACTCCATCTGCTGAGGAAGATCATGTCATAAAAACAGTAATGTAACTGATGATGACTTCCATGTTTTCTGGTTGGAGTTTCTCGAGGAAGCTCTCTGAGATCGTCGGCCTCAACATCCCCTCAAACACCCAACACTACTTTACTTGAAGAAACTTCCATATTACAGACACCTACAGATGTCAAACCTACATTGATATTAATGTCACTAATCATTGTCTAAAACACCATATTACCATATTACATGTAGGGGAAGTTTTCAGTATCCTCTACATGTAAATATGTAAATATGTAGATCAACACTCTCAGCACTGAGGGGGAAACACCATGATATGTTGAGGACAGCTACAGCTCACTGACTCTGTGTGTTTGCATATGTGTCCTGCCTCTCTGCTCCCAGCCGTTAAGAGGCCAGTGTTGATCAGTGGCTGTCCAGGCCTTTCAGAGCCACTGACACGCCGGCAGCACAATGATGATGTCACTGATCCTACTGCTGGCCACCCTGGGGCTCCTTGTTCAGGGTGAGACTCTCTTCTGAAAACTTTGCTTCAGGATGCAACCAGGTTCACCACAATGATGTTCTGCTGTGATGGAGAAACACTGAAACAAGCAGCATTTACCTTCTTCCATCTGTTCTCCATGTTAAAGAAACGAGACTCTTCTGTTTGGATGTTGATCATCTTTCTCCAAACTGGATTTGTCTCAATAACCCTTCTCCTCTTTTTCTTGTTTTCCAGATTCATCAGGAGAAATCATCCTGACTCAGTCTCCTGGAGCTCAGTCTGTTGTTCCAGGACAGACTGTCTCTCTCAGATGTAAAGCCAGTTCAAGTGTTAGCAATGAGGTAGACTGGTACCTTCAGAAACCTGGAGAAGCTCCTAAACTCTTGATTTATCATGCTACAAACCGTCAGTCTGGAGTTTCAGATCGTTTCAGTGGGAGTCAGTCTGGAACTGACTTCACTTTGACCATCAGAGGAGTCCAGACTGAAGATGCAGGAGTTTATTACTGTCAGCAGGATTACAGCTTCCCGTTCACACAGTGATACAACGTCGTACAGAAACCTCTCGCAGCTGGAGAGGAACTGATCTGAATCAACAGCTGCACAGAAACCATAACACTAGGTCAGGGGTGTCAAACTCATTTTCACAGAGGGCCGCATAAGCAATACGGTCACCCTCAAAGGGCCAGTTGCAACTGTAAGACTGCATAAACGTAACTAATCCTTAACATATTGTTAAACAATTGTCTCTTTATTTCATTATGTATTCAAGTTAAGGACATTTATCAGATGTAAAAATATAGCCTTAGTAAGAAAATTTCTCTGTGTTATTATAACATAAGTAAATGAATTTATCAGATTTAAAAACCCTCATTACTTCATCAATCAAAGATCCAACATTTCAAGTAAATAACAAAGACAAATATCATCAAACATAATCTTTTCACTTTTTCACAGTCCAGAGGTGCAGAAAGCTGCTAATAACATGAGGGACAGATGTGGCATTTCATAAAACAAATAGTCCAGCTGCACACAGCCTTGCAGAGGGGATACATCCAACTAATGAGAGATAGTTTGATTACCTGGAAAATGCAGACGTATAGGCTACTGGAGCCTAAGCCTAGTTCACACTGCACAATTCTTAGCCCGATTTGCCGCTCGGCGACCGTCAGGCTGTGATCGGGAGTAAATCAGCGGTTGATCGGTGTGAACTACTCAAAGACGCATCAAAACGCCTCCTCAACACATTTCTGCCATATCGCAGACATCTGCCAGATATCTAGCACGCCAAATATCTGGAGGAGTCGGCCGACTCGACATCCACATCCAGCCAATGAGAGCAGGCAGCTGGCAGAGCAGGTAGCTACTTTTTCACCGCATGTCAAGGCATTCACAATTTCAAACGTCTTTACAAACGAAAGGTCTGGTTACATTACAATGACAATGAGGTTTGATTGTATTCATGTTGTGTAGATTGTTGGATTAGTTGTCATTTATTTACCCTTGTGGTATTCCATCTACCATTGTTGGTATTTGATAAGCATTGTTACCTCTGGAAATATTTGTATATTATTAGTATGTATGGTATGAATGTGTGGTTTTGACTTGTGCATCCACTGTTTCTAAATGAGGTATTGTTATTATTATTATTAAATTTTTTTTAATTAGTAATATTTTTTCTTTGAGATTATTGATGAAGGAAGCAGCTATTTTTTGTATGTATAAATTCTTTGATAGACTGGGGTGGGGTTTAATAAGTTTTACTTCTTCCCACTCCATTTCAAGCATAAGTGTATAAGTTATTATTATTGTGTATCTTTTCTGTTGTCACACTATTTTGCTTGAAATAAATAAATAAATAAATAAATAAATACACTTTTTACTCACCTCCGGCTTTCTCTGTAGCTCAGACAATCCCTGCTACCTGCGTGTCCTAATGCATTCTTTCACCCAGATTCTTTGTCTTTGTAATTGCTGTGTTTATAATAACAAACAACAGCTGTTTTGTCTGTAGGTTCGCGTCATTTCCCGTTTCGTGTGTTTTTTTGACAAAACGTGGTTTGGAAACCAGCATCAGGTGACACAGTCGTTGTCAGCTCGTGTAGTCTGTGACCCCCTGTCACAGATCAGTCACGTAGTGTGAACGCCACAACGACTTCAAGACCCCCATCACAAGACGGCAAGTTGTGCAGTGTGAACGGCACGGCCATCGGCCGACGCTGTCTGTTGTCTGCACGAGCCTTAAATAACGTTGATCCATCATCACTGATACTGTCTCATAACACAAAAGACATAGGCCTAGCCTACCGGGTTTTCTCCTTGAATCACAAACATGTATTCACTTTCCCACCATTGATGAGTTTGCCTTCCTTCTGCATAAAGTTTTCTGGTCTTGGACATTTAGGGATTGTTTGTATACATTTCTCATCTCCACTTGTCGGAAAACCACCATAGTGGGTGTGGAAACATCGCAATCTAGTGGCGGGATACCGTCACTTCTCGGGTCACAAATCGACATGCATTGTGGGAGATGTAGTTTATGGCAGCATAGACTTTTATTTTCAGACAATCATGAATCTTTAAAGCTTTCACGGGCCACATAAAATGATGTGGCGGGCCTTGAGTTTGACACATGTGCACTAGGTCTTTCAATATTAATACAGTATAAAAGAAACAACAGCACAACAAAAGTGTAACAAAATCATAGAAATTCATCATGTGAAAGAATTACTGTCTTGTTGTCATTGTTGAAAGTTTTCCCTCTCCTAAACAGGAGCAGTGGCCAGAGCCTAATATCTAACACTAACCAATTCTTCTTCTTCCTTTTTAGTTTAGCCTTACTAGAAAACTACAGAGTGCTGGTGTTGCAAAACTGTAACTTTATCACTAATGAAATATTGTGGTGAAGCAAGACACTGGTTCATGAAAGGTTTCACAACACACCCTCACAACTTTTGTCAAACATGCTCAATCTGCCTAAGACACAACACAGGGAGGGGATTACATGTTTCATTAGCAGCACATGACCTTGTGTTGTGAGTGAAGGAGGGATTGGGAACGCTTAGGCACCCTTTGTCTCGGACTCACAGGCTGTTAGACAGCAAACATCAACACAAGGGAGCTAGTGGGAAAACTCCTGGTCTCATCCACTGCTGATTTAAGAGTGAGTAGCATGTTTGTCTCTGGAAGGAGACATCCATGGGACCCAGTCAGACACCCAGACATGTGTGGGCCTACGAGGAACAACACAGATGTTTGCTGCCATTGCAATAGCATTAACAGTTCCTCTGTTGCAGTTCTTAGATCACAAGCATGATGCACAAAAGCCACCACAACAGTACACCACAGTGAACTACACACAGGCATTGACATCACATAGCAGTGTTAGAGGCAAGAGAAGCACCCAAAGAGGCTGGGATGCTTGGATAATTTTAATAACTCCTCTTGTACGTTTGTGCCCAACAATACAGCTCCAGATGGTTCGGTGACCCCAGTGCTGGAAGGAATGCGTTCGCTACGAGAAGAACTTGCAGAGAACTCTGAAGTGGACACTAATATGTTTGACTGGTCTGATTCTGTATTTGCTAAATAAAAAGCCTTAGTGATGCCCATACTAGCAGGCCTAATGATTGCTGTAGCGCTGTTACCTCTCTGTGGATGTTGCATTATTCCATGTGCCAGAGGTTTGACTGTAAGAGCTATTGATAAATGTGTGTCTATTCAAATGATCACACTCCATGAACAAGTGAACATGCCATTGTTGCAGCAGCAGAACTGTGATGAAAGGAAGGACCCAGATTCGTTTTCTTGGTTAAACTGGTGTAGATTACATCATGATGCCTTTCTATGACCTGATGATCTTTTTGTAATGCTGTATATTCTTGAGTGATCAAAGAATGCTCACAAGGGAGGAGTATGTGATGGGAATTTGATATTTGTGTTTACTGTTTCACCCTGCATGCTCCATCAGAATAGACCAATGTGTCACTGTGTGGTATATGCAACACTGACATAAAATCTTTGGTTTGAAAATCTGAGATAAGAACCTTCTCATGTTGAAAGTACTTTATATTTTTAATCCTTGAAACTGTATTGAGTAATGTAGATTTGTACAAACTACATTTTAAATGAATTCATGAAAACACCCGCTTTCATTCTTTCATTCACACCTTGTTTATACCTGCATTTAGAAAGTTCTCTTAATGCAGCTATAAAGAGAAACTTTACAGTGTCTCTGCTAAACAGAGACTCTGTAAGGTGAGACTCAAGGAGAACAAGAAATTACCTCAGATATAATCCTGCACTGATAAAATGAAGGAAAATGCATCTTTGTTGGTAAAAAATAAAACTATCATGAAATATTATTTAATTTGAAATAACTTTTTTTTATTTTCTTACAGTGTTAACAGCATGAGCATTATTACATCAATGAATCTTCACTACTTAAAGTTGAATATTGTTAATATGATCTGATGACAGAGTAACAGAGTACAGTCACTATAACAGAAATGAAAACAACAAATTTGATGAACTGGTCTTTATTGTGTTGAAATAATCCAAATTAAATCCAGTAAACAAACTTAACCATGAAACATGTGATTAGAGAATGACTTAAGGAAAGAAAGAGACACAGACACAGAGAGAGTTACAGAGTTCAGAGAGTAAAACCAGTAGCAGAGTCCCAGTGAGTCAGGTCAGGACTGGGAACACTGGTCTCTCCTCAGTGTCTCTGAGACCAGAGCCTGGGAGCCCTGGGTGGCCTCACAGGTCACAGAGCCCACCTTCCTCCACTGGTCTGCAGGGAGCCTCAGGGTGCTGCTCCAGCTGTAGCGGCCGTCCTTCTCCAGCACCCCGGGGCTCCTGCTCTCCTCCCAGCTGCTGCTGCTGCTGCTGCCGTCCACCTTCCAGGCCAGACTCCAGTCTGAGGGGAAGCCCTTGTTGGCCAGGCACATGAGCGTGGCCTTCCCCTGCTGCAGCTCCTCACTGGAGGGGGGCAGCACCGTCAGGGTGGGACGGACATCACCTAGGAGACACCAATCAGCTTAGAGGACACCTTTACTGTGTGAGAGCTGATTTTCTCCTTTAAGGAGTTTCTGTCAGATGGTTTTTCTGCTCCACCAGTCACTCACTCACACATTGTTTCACTTCCCTTTAAGAAGCCTCTCATGCAAATCAGCACAGAGAGAATCATCATACAGAACGACCTGAAACATATCAAACTACAGATTTAAAATATCAAATTTCTCTTCAATAATTTCAACTATACATTAATTTAAAACATTTAGAGGAAACAAATACAGAAAATGAACTGACCAGAAGGAAATGTTCTTCATATGTATTTCACTCATCGTTACCAACGTTTTTAAATGATTTCAAACAAAATTTCTAACATATATGCAACATTTGGAAGTATCCATCTTTATCTTCTATCTGTTCAATTTTACCGGAAGAAAGTTAATTTTATTAAATCCTAACAACAGTTATTATGGCAGTGGAAATTTCAAAACTAATCTTGGCATACATTTTTACCTTAA